CTACTTGAGCCACAGGTGCTGAGCCTGAATGTATCAATCTTAGGAGGTAGGACCATGAGTAGGGTGACCAGACGTCCTGCTTTTTAACAATTTGTCCCATGTCCTGCAGTGTTTTAAAAAAGTCCTGATTTTTGGAAAGAATGCACGAATGGGCAGGAGAACAGGAAGGGAATATACAGTTTTCAGCTGCCATGTGGCTATTTCACCAGAATATGAGTTTTATATTATTTTTGTTAATTTTATAATGTTAAACTGTAATAATAACAAATAATTGTTGAGAAGTGATTATCAAGAACTGCTTATCAAAGTTTGCATTGTTGTCAGGCCCTGCCCTGCCCCCCACCACCATGTTGTCCCTCTTTACAAATGTTAAAATCTAATCACCCTAACCATGAGGGGGTTTTTTTGGAGACAGAGTCTCACTATGTTGCCCTTGGTAGAGTGCTGTGGCATCACAGCTCACAGCCACCTCAAACTCTTAGGCTTAAGTGACTCTCTTGCCTCAGCCTCCCAAGTAGCTAGGACTACAGGTGCCTGCCACAATGTGTGGCTATTTTTTGGTTGTAGTTGTTATTATTGTTTGGCAGGCCCGAGCTGGGTTTGAACCCACCAGCTCCAGTGTATGTGGCCGGCGCCCTAGCAGCTGAGCTACAGTTAGTCATGGAGCCAGACCATGAGGAGCCAGACCATGGCTCAGAGAGGTTTGGGAACTTGAAGGTCCCACAATTGGTAAATGACAAAGACAAGACTTAAACCCTGCTTGGCCTCAAACCAAAGGATGCTCTCTTTCATGGCCTAAAACCAACAGCATCAGCGAGAGCTGTTTGGTCTCTGCCCCTCCTCCTCCAGGCTCAGCTGCAGAGATCAGGAATTTCATAAAGATGTACTTCAGAGGACAAGGCCCCATCAACTTCTCACTCCTCTTCTACACCATCCTTTGTTCTCCAGCTGTCTTGTTTGACTTCTGGTCTTCCTTCTGACCATGGTTGCCTTCCCCTCCAGACTCGGCATTCCCAGAGGGCACACTATGTTTTGCATCTCTGCATTTTCTGAAGGGCCCAGCATAAAGCTCTTGGTGTCCCTCGACACCAGAAAGTCTACCTGGAGTTGAGTTGAAGACAGGATGCTCCTAGTAGCAGCTGAAAACCACATTGAGGTCCAGCTGAGCTCCCTGCTCTGCAAAATCTGGCATTTCTTTGCTTGCCTGCCCGGTAAACTCTTATTCATCCTGCAAAGCCCAGCTCAGGTGGCAGTCTCCCTCAGAAGACCTCATTGCATCCAAACAAGACCACCCCCAGCCTCTGTGTAGACCCTTCAACCTCAGCACAATTATGTTGCACAGAATTACTCCTTTTTGCCTTGATTTCTTCTGCTTGCCTACTAAAGAAAAAATTCTGTGTCTCTGGAGTTTCATAGGGCATGCAGTACTTGGCAATTTTCAATAAATATTAGGCTGCATAATTAGGTGCTTGGGTCAGCTGGAATAGACTCTTCATTAAAAGAGAGCTAATCTTGGGGATCCCTGAAAAGAAGGAGTCAGCCTTTAGCTCCTTCAAGGGCACCCAGGCCCCTCCCTGCTCTCCTATGCCTTGCCTCACCCAGTCTGCTTTACAGGCCCTAAAACTGCCCTGATTCCTGCCTCATGCCTTCTCTAAACATGTGAAAGTGACATCAGCTTGGAACTAACTATGAGCACAGGTGTACTTCAAAGTACATAGTTGGACACTCTCAAACAGAACTCTACTTAATGGGTGGGGCCTAATGGAAAATGCAAAGAAGGGAGGACCCTGATTTAAAAATTATGAAATTTCAAGATGTTAACTATGGAGTTTTGAAAAACACTCCACTCATGGGCTTCTAGGAGCAGGACCCTGTGTGACCATAAGGTTTCCCAGCCAGAAGGCTGGCCCTGCTTCCAAGTAAAATGCTAACTTCCAAAGACCACTGCTAGGGTACGCCTCAACCTAGAGCTACAGTGATGCCTGCCTGGACTCTACAGTACTGCTGAGCCAAGACCGCCAGGGGAAATGACAGGAGACCAGAACATCTGGAGTTTTCCACAGAAAAAAATTACTTGTTACTAAAAAAGCAACACAGTGTGATACGTGTATATCCATACAATAAAATATCATTCAGCCAGAAAAAGAAATTAGCTATCAAGTCAAGAAGGGCACGGAGGACCCTTAAATGCATACTGGAGAGTGAAGAGGGCCAGTTTGAAATGGCTACACACTATACAGTTTCCTTGCATGACATTATGGAAAAGGCAAAGCTATGGAGATGGTAAAAAGATCAGTGGTTGCCAGGGGTCAAGGGAGCACAGAGGATTTTTAGGACAGCAACACTATTCTGTATGGTACCATAATGGTGCATACATGTCATCACACATTTGTCCAAGCCCATAGAATGTATAACTCTACAGATGAATACTGAGGTAAATTATGGGCTTTAGTTAGTAATTATGTATCAATATTGGTTACATACAATGTAACCAATGATGTTAAATACACTAAAACAAAATGTAAATAATGAGAAAACTGTGTGTCCGGGGGGCATATGGGAATGCTGTACTTTCCAATCCAATTGTTCCATAAACTTAAAACTGCTCTAAAAAGATAAAAGTTGATTAATTTCTTTTTAAAAAATCACATTCTTTATCAAAGATGGTAAGCAAGAACGTACCCCATGAGTTAATGGGAATGAGAGGTGGGAAGTGTTTGGCAGGCGGTTTTCACTTTGCTTAGATTATCAGCTGGATGCCCCAGATTTCTTGATCTCAGTAATGGTAGAGGCAAGAGGAAATAGCCATCTGGGGGTGAAGTCTAAGATGAGGGTCCCCTGAGAGGTAGTAAGGAGCTCATGGACTGTGATTTACCTGATAAGGACTCGAGCAACTCCTGCACAACTTCTGTGTGCCCAAAATGTGCTGCCACCACAGCTGGGTTGTTATCAGTGGGCTCTGTCGGCAGCTCCACACGCCTGTTGGTGAGCAGAAACCGCACCATCTCCAGATCCCCATAGGCCGCCGAGATGCTCAGAAGCTGGCCCTGGTCAAGACAGAACAGGATGTCAGTGAGATGAGCTCTGTCTGGAACTGCCAAAAGAGTCAAATCTGAGTTCTTGGCCAGATCCTGGGGCTAGTCTGGAGTCTCATTGTCCAGTATGATAGCACTCTCCAAATGCAGCTGAAGAGCACTTGAAACATGGCTGGTACAAAGTAGGAGGAGGTGGGGAGTGTGTATTTACATCAGATTTCAAAGGCCAAGTACAAAAAGGATGCACTATCTTATCAATAATTTGATGTTGATTACATGTTGAAGGGATGATTTTTAAGATAATCAGGTTAAATAAATTGATACTATTAACATTTTACTTTTTTTTCAAAGACATAGTCTCACTTTTTGGTCCAGTTTAGGGTGCCATGGCATCACAACTCTCAGCAACCTCAAACTATTGGGCTCCAGTTATCCTCTTGCTTCAGCCTCCCAAGTAGCTGGGACCACAACACCTGGCTAGTTTTTCTGTATTTCAGTAGAGACAGGGTCTTGCTCTTGCTCAGGCTGGTCTCTAACTCCTTAGCTCAAGCAATCCATCTGCCTCAGCCTCCCAGAGTGCTAGAATTACAGGTGTGAGCCACTACACCCAGCCAACATTTTACCCTTCCCTCCTTCACTCCCTCCCTTCCTTCCTTATCAATATATTTCTCTGTTTATTTGGTTTTCTTTAAATTTTCTCTTCAATACCTCATCATAGGTATCTTATGATGCCTCTCCCCAGTTCCACTCTTGGGCACTATACGAGTGAGCTGCATAATGTATCATAATAATGATTGGTTTATAAGAAACGTTTGAAAAGTGCTTCGAAAACTTGGAGCAAGGAAATGATTAGGCGCACAAATGATTAGAGGTCTACAGGGTGAGCTGTGTACTTCAATGGGTTGAAGAGCAGTGCTATAGGGAAGCAACCTCAGGTCCCTACTGATGTGTACCTGTCCTCCCCCCCCCCCAATACAGTAAAATAAAAGCATTGGCTAATTGGGCCTCCAGATATTTTTGTTAAATGTGGAAAAGGGGCTTCTTCACCAGTTAGGGCAAGGGTTATTTAGAGCAAATTAGGAATTTATGACTAGAATTAAACAAGGGGGTGAGGATACATACATAAGAAGATGTTTAGAGATCAGTCTGGATTATTTCCTAGAACTGAAAGAGTTATGTGATTTGGGATTTGTTTCCCGATTTTACCAGTGTAGACTATACAGATTAAAACTCAGTTTCTCCCCTCTTCCTCAATTAAGAGATCTTAATTAAAGGGTCACCTCTGTCTTTAAGATAAGTTATGGTTTCAATTAAATTTCAGAAACCAGATATATGGGAAATGGCATATAGTATCCCCCCTTTCTTTGCAAAGATTAGTAGCCCAGACTTACTCTGGGACCACCTCTTACTGTTTTTATGAGAATTAACTTTCGCTCTCCCATGCTGATCTCCCAGAATTTACAGGTGGGAGGTTTAAATCTCCATTCAACATTTAACTTTTTAATGTTGACTTTCATGTGGTTACCAAAAAATTTCATATTGTCCATGTGGCTCAAACTCTATTTCTATGAGGCAACAGTGTTCTTAACCACCAGCTTCATGAAGATGGGGACCAGATGAGTATCCCCTCCTGGAATAGAACCAGAGCTAAATTATCATCTGATAGGTGTTGAGAAGACCTCAGGAGGAGAGGAGGTGGCCAGGCTCCATGAAGAATCATCCCTGGAGTTACCCATAAATGGAGTGTGAAAGAGAAGAAGAGCCCACCAATCTGAATCTAGGGACAAGGCTCCTCCAGCAATCTGTAGTGGGGTTCTTGACTTGGTGGCCCAGAAGAAGAGAAGGACACGGTGGAAATTGAACCTAAGCCTGAGTTCTGACTTTGTTCTGGCCATTCTGGTCTGTGAAGGCTCTACAAGGTAGGCCATGTACATGGACAGGACATGGAGGTTCAAAGAGGTTTCACAGCTTGCTCAAGATCATGCAGTGAGTCACAGCGTGCATGGTGGCTATTATACCTCTTTTCACAAGCTCCCTGGGTTGGAGAAAAGGATGCTCAGATGGATCTGAGTCACACCAGCAATGAATCCGCATTTCTGTTTTACAGATGACAATGAGAGCTGCTCAGTGTTCAGGAGATTATGGCCAGCAGAATCACGAAAGACTTGAACTGGAGTGTGTCTAGCTCCAGATCTCATGTCCATCCTCTCTATCCAAGAAAAGATGGGACTTAGAGCAAGGCTCAGGTTTGTTTAAATAAAGTAAATGGGCTGGTGGTGGAAGGTGTGTCTGACAGGTAAGGTGAGGGACAGTCCAAGGGACTGGAGCTACATGGAGGACAGTAGAGTCATATATTCAGTACAACCAGAAAAGAAAAGTCCACCCACCTGCCACTCTGCCCAGGGTGTGGCCAGTAGCCCAGCCATTCCAGGAAAGCATTTGCATAAAGGAGAAAAGCCACAGAGACTGATTAAATGATTCACTGCACACAGCTAACAGCTGTCTAGACTCCATCGGTTAGAGCAGTGGTTCTCAACCTTCCTAACACTGCGAACCTTTAATACAGTCCAAAGGGGTCATGACCCACAGGTTGAGAACCGCTGGGTTAGAGGCTTAAAAGCCCCATCCTTATAAGGTGGTAAAGTGATGTCACAGGAGCTAGCCCAAGACCAAGAGGGCCCCAGAGGTGGGAAAGGTCAAAGCTGGTTCTCTGGCTGGAGACAACCCAAGGGCTCTATAGTATGTACTTATTTTCAAACAGCCTAGAAAAGTGTAAAATAAAAAGTACATCTCCCTCTATGCCTACACTTCTCAGCTTCTTTCTGCAAAGGAAATCACTCTCACATAACTTTCTAGAACTTGTTTATCTATACATGCTCACAGGTAATCACAAATCCCCCCTTTCACTTAATTCATTATGACTTTTTACTGGCAATAGAACATAGCTAGAAAGAAATACAAACATTATGGTTGTTTAGTTTCATGTATGGCCACTTGAACATAGTCATGTCACTGGCCTCAGACCAAGAAACAAGACATTCTGTGCCCAGAAGCCCCTTGTGCCCTTCTAATCACTGCCCCACCAGGAGGAACCACCATGCTGGCTTCTAACACCACACATTTATTTTTGCCAGTTTTTAACTTCATAAAAGTGGAATTGGACTTCACTCAATTTTTAAAAAACCTTTTGCTTTGAAATAATCAGAGATTCACAGGAAGTTGCAGGGATAGTACTGACAGGATGTGTCAGTTTCTCCCTCTGGTGACATCTGACATCACAGTAGCAAGACATCACAATCAGTAATAGTACAATGTGTGTGTACGGTTCTGCCATTTAGTCATGTGTGTAGGTGTATGCAGCCACCACCACGATCAAGCTGCAGAAGTGTCCATTACCGCAAGGATTGCCCTCATACTCCCCCTATGTGGTCTCACCCACCCTCTTCCTCTTTACCAATGCCAAACTCTGGCAGCCACCAATCTGTCTTCCATTTCTGTAATTTTGTCACTTAGAGAACGTTATATAAATGGAATCACAGAGAATATGACCTTCTGAGATTGGCATTTTTTCCCACCCAGCAATAATGCCCTTGAGACCCATCTGAGTTGTTATGTTTCAACAGAGTTCCTTTATGCTACTTAGTAGTATCCCATGGTGTGTTGAACTATTTGGCTCTGAAAGGTTTTGGTTAGGTCCAGTTTTTGGCTCTTATAAATAAAGTTACTATAAGCCAGTGGTTCTCAACCTTCCTAATGCTGCAGTGTATTGTTAAAAAGGAGTCGCAACTCACAGGTTGAGAACTGCTGCAATAAACAATAATGCACAAGTTTTTGTGTGCATGTAAATTTTCCCTTCTCAAGGATAAGTGTTTGGGAGTCCAATTCTGGACCACAATATAAATGTATTTTGACCTCCAACTCCTGAGCTTAGGCAGTTCTCTTGCCTTAGCCTCCAGAGTAGCTGGGACTACAGGCACCCTCCACAACAGCCAGCTATTTTTTTGTTGCAGTTTGGCTAGGGCCAGGTTCAAACTCGCCACCCTTGGTATATGGGGCTGGTGTCCTACCCACTGAGCCACAGGTGCCACCCTGTATTTTGGCTTTTTAAAGAAACTGCCAGACATTTTCCAGAGTAGCCATACTGTGTTACATTCTCACTAGTAAGTTTCTAAGAGACACAGTTTTCTGCGTCCTGGTCTATATTTGATATTGCCATTATTTTTAATTTTTGCTGTTTGAAAAGGTGTATAGTGACATCTCATCATTGTTTTATTTTACATTTCTCTAGTGGCTAATGATGTTGCATATCTTTTGTTTACATGCCATTTGTATATCCTCTTTAGCAAAATGTTTATGCATTTCATACATTTTCTATCTGTATTGTCTGATGTTGAATGCTGAATTTTGAGAGTTCTTTATGTTTTACATATGAGTACTTTGTCAGATATGTGGTTTGTAAATATTTATCCAAGTCTATAGTTTTTTTTTTTTCCACAGTAATAGTTTTTAATCTTGATGAGGTCCAGTTTATCAATTTTTTCTTTTATGGATAATTTTTTATGGATTTTCTGTGTAAACTGTTTTATGATCTCCAAATACAGATGGTTTATTTCTTTCTTTCATATAGAGACAGTTTTATTTTTCTTTCATGTCTGTTTATGTTTTATTTCCTTTCTTTGCCTTATTGCACTGGCAAGAAGTTCCAATAATATATTAATACACTGAATAGTATTATGTTGAATATAGTGATATTATAATTACTCTTGAATGGAACTTCAATTATTATATTGAGAGTGGACATCCTTGCCTCGTTCCTGATCTTAGAGGGTAGGCAGTCTTTCACCATCAAGGTTATAAGATCTTTGTAGTTGTTCTTTATTTTGAGGAAGTTTTCCTGTCTTCCTAATTTTATGAGAGCTTTCATTTATAATGGTATTGATTTTTGTCAAATGCATCAATTTTTCTTCTTTAGTGTATTAATATGGAGGGTTACAGTGACTGACTATTGAATA